TTGTGCTGACGCTATGGCCCAGGGCAGAGATATTTCTTCAAACCAGCGCCATCTCCTAACTGATAGGTCGGCATGCAAGTTGCGGCATGACATGCTTCAGCATTATTTATAGCCGTCCCATAGTACGGGTACCAAATTACTAGCTTACGCTAGCAGCTTGGCCGAACCAAATATAAGCTGGCCGTTTTCGAGTGGGCTCATTGTGACCTCGAAGTCGACGCGTCCCTCAGCCCCGAACAGCACCGGCGTACTGTGGGGAACCCACAAACAACGCTCGCTGTAGCGGCCATTTTGTCCAAAAACACCACACCTGCAGACTTACCTCCCCCACCTCTACGTTCGTGACTCAAATTTCGCCCGTAGTCTGCACAGTGTAATGTACCTTTTAACGAACACCGGATATTTTTAACAGAGAAACTTAGGCGGGCGGAGTGCCCGAGGCGTTTGATCTCCAACCTTGGTTCGAATTGAGCACGACGAGAGGTGACTCATATTCAGCGTGAACTTACGTTGGGTGTAATGTGGACAACCCTAACACATATGCGCATTAGGATGGACTCTGACTCTACACGGGTTCGACTGACCCATGCAGCTCGCCATGGGTTCAATGCGAGAAAATCCAAGCACCCTGCTTGAGGTTAATCCGGGTTTTTTATCGGATAACCTGGCCACGCAGCCTAATTCTGGGTGAGTGCGGAATTTCACGTTTAAGTTTTGGTAGAAATTTCCAGGAATTTCCGTGTTAACCCAACCAAATGAAGCCCGCGGAGCGTAACATTTCTCGTACTAAACCGTGGATAATCCAAATAAAGGCCTGCCTGGGTTCGCTGTGATTTGCTGGCTGGGAAGGTGTAGCTTATCACCCTCTTCACTCTCTACGGGGCAATTTACTGTCCTCTACAGAGACTCCACTTTTTCGGCGATGTACCGTTTTTGCGTAACTTCTTCACCGCACGCCTTTTCCCTCGACGAACCTAAGGGCACATTCGGTGGTGTGGATCCATTTCCTTGCTGAATGCCAGGTAATCATGAAAGCCAAGCCGATTGATGCCAGCTGGTGCAAATCACAGAAGGGCTGAGATACCGAAGGCAGTTTATCTAAGTGTATTGTTAATGTTGGGCAGTAGCTGCGCATGCGTAAGTTCCAAAGCCAGCTTGTGATTATCTGTGGAGCATTTTATTTGGAGGGAGTCGTTTTTATTTGATTCACGCGCACAACTCCAAATCGCTTGTGCCGCAGTTGGCCGCCTTCAGCTCTTACTAAGCCAGCTCACGGCCGCCACGTTTGCGTCAAAACGGCGGCGGCGGTCTCTTCACGAATGCTCAACGAACTCAATATTTCAAGATAATTCAAGCTGTTTTGAAACTTGAATTTCTGATGTTGGCGCTGCTTAGGAAACAAGTGAAGTTTAAGCAAATGTTCTGGTCTGATTTGGTAAAATGAGATCAGGTCATCCGGGGCAGGAAATATTACGGTGAAAGAACATTAATCATATGTACTGAAGCAGATTTGCCGCAGCATTGAAGAAATGACAGCATATTGCCCAAATGTGACGTCGTAAATCGGCTGATATGTCATCCTTTAACCACCATCCCATCAGGCCGCGGTCCGGGCTGTGGTATTTATTCTTGATATCACGTCCTGTCCTGCAGTGCCATGGCCTGCATCTTACGATGGCACCACCGACACGCTGCTCTATCTGTCCATGAATGCAGCGGGCTTGTGCTAAGATAGCCCATCACGTCACTCTCCCAGGGGCCTGGCCTTCTGCCGCGGTCCCCGGCGCTCCCACTGCGTCCCGGCTCCTCTCCCCCAATGTCCTCGCCCCATTCTGCCGCGGTCTCCGTCCCTCTCTCTTGAGTCCTCCGCCTTCGGGTTCCCCGCTCACCCTTCTGGAGTCCTAGGTCATCTCCCCGGATCCTCCGACCTCCCTACGTCTGATCACCGCACCTCTCCTCTGAGTCCCCACCACTGCTCTCTTAGGTCTTCGCCCCCCTCTCCCTGATCTCCACCCCTGTCTCCTGAGTCCCACATCCCTCTCCCTTGGGTCCACGCTCCCCTCCTTGATCCTCACCTCTCTTTCTTGAGTAACCCCGCCCTCTCCCTTAAGTTTCCCGCTCCACTCTCCTGGAGCCCTGCCGCTCTCCCCCGAGTTCCTGCTGTCCTCTCCTGAGTCTTACACCCCTCTCCCCTGGGGTTCCCGCCCCAGTCTCCTGAAATCCTCTCCCGTCTCCTCCTGATCCCCGCGCGCTTCCCCTGAGCTCCCCCTCCCGTCGGGACCCACCCCTCTCCCCCGAGTCAGCACCTCCCTCCCCCGAGCCTCTCTCCACGGGGTCAGCTCCCTGTCGCCGGTCGCGCCGGCAGCCGGCATCGCCTCCCCAAAATCAATGCCGACCGGCGCGGCGCGCCAGGTCCGAATGAGATGTGTCGGCGGCGGCGGCGCGCGCGCGCGCGCTGCGGTCCGCGGTCGAAGACAGCGTCGAGAGACCGGCTGCCGCGTCGGGGCCGACGCAGCGCCGCCGGAGTCGACGGGCGGCGATCAACAGCGGCGCCAGCGCCGTCTCGGGAGACGTCGATCCGTCAGGTAGCGGTCGGGTGCGGGTTCGGTGCGCGTGTGCTGACGCCGTCCGACGGGTGCCGGTCGGGTGCAGGTGGGTGGCGTGCATGCTCCCGGGGTGTGGTGTGGGTGTCGGGGGTGTTTTTGGGCGGGGACGGGTGTGAGCCTGGCCAAACGGTGTTATGTGGCGGTAGTGTGCGGATGTGCTGTTTGAATGTTGAAAGGGTGCTTGGGCAAAAAATGGTAAGGGTTCGGTGTTCGCTACAGCGAACGTTGTTTGTGGCTTTCCCCCGGGATGCCGGAGCTGTTTGGGGTTTAGGGACGCGTCGACGTCGAGATTACAATGCACTCTCTCGGAAACGGCCGACGTATTTTTTGTTCGGCCAAGCTGCCAGTGTGAGCTGGTGATTTAGTACCACGTAGCTGCATTCTTACACTTACACTGTGGGACGGCCATAAATAATGGTGAAGTCAAGAAGTGCTTTACGGTTCGTGACGTATGTCACGTCACAGGTCGCATGCCGACCTATCAGTCAAGAGATAGCCCTTATTTGAGGTGAGATCGCTGCTCTGGGCCGTAGCGTCGGCACAGAATGAGCTCTTGCCCAACAGTTTATCGCTCCCCGGCGGTGCTGACCTGAATGCGCAGGATCAGTGTGGTAGATGGGGCGTCCAATGGGCATGGATGGGGTGCTTCGATGATCTTACTGTTTATATTGCTCCTTGCTAGAGACCCAACTTTGTCCAAAGTGGCAGTCCGCACCGCTCTGGCTAACTAGGCATCTACCTGCAAAATCAAGCCGTATTACCATGCTGAACAGATGTTGCCCGCAAGTGCTCAGCTAAGTGAATCTACATTTGGTTGTTTTTCTTGTAGCAAATTTTATGCACATGGCATAATTGATGCTAGTGTGATCAAATGCACAACCTTGTTTGCCTCACACGAATGGTTGGGCTAAGACAGCAGTAACACAAAGCGCTCCAACTGTGGTATCTTTATAGCACCATATTGCGTCTTAAGCGTTAATGGCTGCTTCCAGCTACAAATCGAAACGAGGGGATGAAATCGAACCTGGGCCGCTCGCCAAAACGTGCCAGGAAATTTTCCCCCTGTACGTCGTCTCAGTGAATCATACGCTTGGTCTTCTATAGCTGTCTGCATCAACAGATGACTTTGTACAAAAAAAGGTGAAGAAATGGTCGATACACCAAACCATGGGGAATCTCCTCAGTTCATTCCACGGTACATGAGCACACATAGTACGCAGCTATAAAAAATAATGGCATTTAACGCGACACTGCAGCTAAAATTGCATATTTCTTTCCGTGTACCTCAAGGAAGGCGGATGCGTAACAACGGCCGTAATGTCATCAGTCGGATTCAAGACAGAGGTTCAGGCTCTGATGTGGCGTTTGCTAAACTTGAGTGGATAAATCATACAACAGCGGGAATGGGCATCACATGGAATCCTTGAAACGGTCCACATAGCCCTCCTGGCACCATTCACCCATGCTTCCTCCCAGAGCGCCACCTCTGCGCCATTTGTGACACCACGTGCAAGAGTGCTAGTACAGTTTTGCTCCAGAACGCTGCTTCTGCCACTCAATAGACATCGTTCACTTTAAGGTTTGCCACAGAAAGCCGTGATATGCTACTATATACTCAATAAAGGTTTCAACGAAAGTAAAAACTGAGCTGAGCACGTCCTAGATATCCGTCCACAAAACCGCAAGTTTCAGAACCATATCGAAGGTTTTATTTACGTCATGATTGTTGAAATGAAATTTTTGGCAAAACCATATGTTCAGGCATCAGAAGAAATGACAGAATAAACCAAGGCAAACATCTTTTTGAACCATGTATGTTGAAAATGAATGTCAATCGCTTTGAGGGTGAAGGGCATCACACGTAAGAGGCCCTTGTTATCGTGGTCGTAAACTATGTACTTGTTTACATAAAAAACCTTGTATGAATAGACGAACCCTGTATTTCTACTATTCGGTGTCAACAACTGTTACACATGTGATGCAAGGGTAATTGTTGCGTACTGTGTTAACCAGTGGGCGAAGTTAGAACGATGAATGCTATACAGCCCTGTGGTCATTTCACTCATCATTGATATTAACTGTGGAGTATGGCTTGTGCATGAAATGAGACAATTCAAGCGCACCTTGACCCCACAATTGGTGTCACCATAATAGCTAAGCGTAGTGCGTTCCAGTGTTTATATAAAGGACCCACCTGGCTTCTGCTCAATGAAATCTGACCAAGCTTTAAAACTTTGGGCAGATATTCGTGATTCTTTCGGTGAGATATTTGCATTAAGTTGTTCAATCTCGTAATTGTGCACCTGGATTAATGGTGTGCTACGTCTACCGTGGGCTTCCATTTGCTATGGCCCTTGCTAAATACATCACTAAACAATTCTGTATGATTGGTTTGTGCGTGACATTGCACTCTGATTTGTGGAAGACATGCATGAGTTCTAGCGTGAAGTGCTCTCTCCTGCATTCTAACATTATCAACCCGTAAAATTCCGCCAGTCATGGTCCAGCACGGCAAAAAGCCCGCGGGCTCTTTTTAGCGGGTCAGATGCGGTGGGTTGGTAGATTACGAAGCTTCCTCCATTGCGCACCCGCTTGAAAGATGAGCAATCACAAGAGTGTCGCATGACTGTTCTGGCACCACTCGCAACGAATAGGTGCAAAGTCGGCGCGCGCTTGTCAGGGACTATGGAGCTAGGAAAACGATGTGAGCGACATGCTGAACGGGGGACAAGTAAGGCAAGTATCGAATTGCTGAAGCCATATTATCATCGTCAGATCCCTATTTGGGTAGTGACGCTGTGCGTTTCGTGCTTTCACGGCTTTCCGTGTGGCTTTTGAGCTGGCCTGAGGCCTGCGGACGCGTGTTCGATGAGAAGTCCGCGGTGTGGTGGGTGCGGCAAGGGCCTACCGGACTCCAAAACACATAGGAGGACGGGAGGCTGCTGTGACAATGGACTGTCGCGGTTCGGAGGACGTGGGAGGAAGTGGGAGGGTGGAAGTCTTTGGCGGCAATGAACTGCCGGGCGTGGGAGGGCGTGGGAGGGTAGGAGTCTGTTGCTATCCGGCTGAGGCGAGGGCCGTGCTTGTCCTGTCGGTGGGTGGCAACTGTGAGCTGGCCATTTGCCATCTCCGGGTGGCTTGGCCTCGGAAGGGGCGCTGCCCGGGCATAAACAGGGCAGGCAGGTGGCATGGCTTCGGCACCGATGTTGCCCCGGCGTATAGAAAACAGACAAATGCCATGGCTCCGGCAGCGACGCTGCCCCGGCGTATAGAAGACGTATAGAATACAAATGTCACGGCTTTGGTGGTGGCGCTGCCCCGGCGTATAGAAGACAGACGGGGCGACAAACGGGGCAGCGCCCCCCCCCCCCCTCCCCCCCCCACCCCCCGGCTTTGGTGGTGGCGCTGCCACGTCGTATGCGGGACGAATACACAATGCACGCACCCCTCCTCCCTCACGGAAGAAATGTGTGCGCTTGTGCATGCTATGGACGAGTGAGCCAAATGTCCGGATGAGATGTTCACACGATCCCCGGCACAGAGCAGCCTTATGAAGTTGATGCTGCCCCGTGTCCGTCCGTGTCCGCGCCTCGTGCCGCGTGTCCGTCCGTGTCCGCGCCTCGTGCCCCGTGTCCGTCCAGCCCCATGTAGCGGACCGGCAGACCCGGTAGAGGGAATCCGTACAGACGGCATAGGAGAAAGAACCTACGGCTGGACAATTTCTGTCCACTCGCTTGGTATTGTTAGGTCTGCGAATGATATGAAAGGCGCTCTCTGATTGGTCTGCACACCGAAGATGGAGCCTGATGCAGCGAGCTGTGCTGTATAGGCATGGGCTATGACATTAGATAACATGGAACGTGAATGGTGCTCATTAGCTCTGGGTCTCTGGGGTCAGGCTATCAGATTAGTTGCCCCATTGAGCAGAAGTGGAAACATCGGTGGCCGGCCTACGACATGGCGTGGTTTACCATGGAGCGACATAATCTATAGCAATCTGCGTTTTGTGTCGACTAGTCTCGCTTTCACCGACTTCATGTGCGATCTGGTCCAAGTCTGTACGTTTGTGTAAAATGGTTACGAGTGCCTTGTATGTAGCTAGCGAAGGCTCAAAGCATAACAAGATGTTTGTCGGTCTGTGCAAACCTGATGTGTTTACAGACCACCATGTATTGACGAAGTACGCAGCGTAAGTTGTTAAGTGCGTTTGTGAGGAACATTATTCACGTAGATAAGACAGGAGTCGTAGCCTTATTCCTTGGAGGAAATTCAGGAGAATAGAAATATATAAATGCGTTGATGTTTTGGCAACCCGCCTTCATCGAAACGAATAGCAGAAGTGAATTCCTTCTGCTTTCCCTTCGCTGAATTCACCCCTGCTATTCGTTTTGATGAAGGCATATTGCCGAAATATCAAAGCATCTATATCTCTATTCTCCTCGTTTTTCTCCGAGGAATGGGGCTATGAGTACTGTCTGGTCTAGGTACATAACATAGTGAAGTTCCGTTCCCACAACCCACTCCTTCGTTTATAGATCGCTTCAGATTTACTCGCGCGCCAGGCCGGGCTAAGCCCTTACCATAATTCACTTCCTGCTGTCAGCCCAACTCAATGCCCCGCACTCGACCCCCGTAGTCTGACTAGAAGTAGCAGTAGTGACACCGATGGACATAGAGCATCGAGGCGGTACGAATGCGTGACCACCGAGAACCTGCAGCTGACGATGTGGGTCGCCTGTACTGTTGACATACCCCGTCACCACATCGTTTGAACTGTCAGTATACCCGACACCACCGCCTTCGGGCTGTCAGCATACCCTGCTAGCACCCCATTTCTGCGAGTGTCAGCGCATCGCGAGCCCATCGGCCGTCCTAGTTTTCTGCTCTGCGGAGGCGTGCACCTCAGAGACCCTTGGTGGCTACCGCCGCCGCTGTCGGGCCGAAGCCATAAATATTTAGAGGCCTTTCAGCGCTCTCGCAAACCGCAGTCGTCGCCCGTTAGTCAGCACCGGGGAGTGAGCTGCCCCGCCTGGCCCCAGCGCTACC